TGCTGAATCTAATGGGAAGGTCTCATGGGAGTGATCAACAGGCTTCAGCACTCTAGGGGTGGATGGAAATGTGAAAACATCTTTGCTTTTCTCATAAGTCCGTCCTGTAATTGCCTCATTAATGTCTGTGCCTGTAGAAAATGGTGTTTTAAACCTTACCAGGTAAAGACTAACCAGGAACCAAATCGTTCAGGTCCTATGAAGTCTAAACTCCCTTTGAAAAACTAGAATAAAGAAGTCAGGAGTTACCATTCTGTTTCTTAGGTGTTTTATCTTGGATTTTATTCTGATATTCCTTTGCAGCTTTGGGAATGCCATCAGGCAGCCAGAGCTGTGTGGGGTTTGGGAAAATCTCCTCTTTCTTTGCCTCTGAGATGCATGTCCCAGCGTGGTTTCTTCTGTGTAACACAGGGCACTGCTAGGGAGTGGGTTGAGGTTGTCAACTGTGGCACAAGAGCAGGAGCCTGGCTCTGTGGAGGCAACCATGGCTTAGCATTTTGGATGCAGATTATGTCTTTTCCTCCCTTCTGGTACACAGTGGACCTCTAAAGCTTTTCTGCTAGCAGTGGCTGCTGAAGAGAGAATTTGGTCCCCATTAACCATTGCCTTTTTTAGCAAAACTGTGTACCCTTTGTCCAGCTGTGTCTAATTCTTGGCAGGCTTTATACTAGATTTTAATTTGGATATTAGTTTGCCTGTGGTCAGACTGTATTGAGAACTGTTTATAGGTTCTGATTAATATATGGAACATGTGCAGCCTCAATTACCATATGAATATTTACTTCATGTGGCCTGTGATTGCTGTGAAGTATTGGCAAGAGACTGTGAAAGAGTAAATTGTACAAATAACAATGAGGCCATATTTATCTCAGACCCAAAAGCTTTTAGGGCTTGCAGTTAATTTGCTGCAATAAATAATCCAGGCTTCTTGGAGTGTGCCTATATCCCCCATTTTGGCATGTGCATGCCCCATCACCCCCCTTCCACCGGGAACATGTATGACCCCATCCCATCCTGGCCAGACACATAAAATAGCAAATCTGCTTCAGTAATTTTTGGGGCAAAACCAGCATCCATCCCACAAGCAGAGACTACCCGTGGTTCTTGGGACTGAGGTCAATGTTCCAGTGTTTCATGTAAACACTTTAGGTGCTGACCTGGACAGAGTCTGGACAGAGTAGGGATAAAAAGCAGCACTCACCTAAATGAGGAACTATCTGTCAATAACTTTTTTTCTGAAGCTCAGACCTATTCTCTCTGATGCTTTAATTATAAAATAGAATCTGTAGGCTTTGAACAACATCTTTGTTTGAGACTGTTGTGCTCCCAAGGACACACATTCCAGATTTGCCTTGGCGAGGAACATGTGAAAGAAAAATGCAGTATTTACAAGTGTGATTAGAAGAGAATTCAGATTTCCAAAGAAAATGTCTTGGAAAATCCCTTGGTGAAAAACCTGTGCTTCCAAGCTGGGATATGAAGTGGCAGCTGCCAGGCTTTTGAGGACAAAGTCCTGCAGTCCTGGACAGTCCAGTCTCTGGCATTGCCACTTACCTCAGCCATCAGCACTTTGGCAGAGCAAGAAATTACAGTAAGGTAGCAAGTTTTATGTGACATCTGGTAGGTGGTACCTATCCGTGTTTCTGCTCTTTTCCTGCAGCCATGAGTGAAATTGCTCGAGGCTGCTAAAGCTTTGATGGAAGAGGGTTATCTCAAGTGCTTTCATGTTTGCTGCAGGTTCAGTGCGTGAACAGAGACACCAATTATGTGTCAACTGGCCTACAGGAACTGTCCTGGCCCCACATCAGCATTGGATCTAGCATCCTTAGGTCTTTCATTTCATAGTGTGGATGCTGGCAGGCTGATCCCTTTGAAAGGAACAATTCCCTGCACGTTCATACAATAAAATGAGAGAAAAAAATTCTCCAAGAGCATCATCTCCATCTTGGGCATCACATTTAACCCTGGAAGACTCCTTGTTTCCATGGGAAGAAAGTGACCTTTTAAGTGGTGTTTTGGATGTGCTGCATGTGTTTAGGATCTGCTGCCTGCACCCTTCAGATCCTCTGGAAGGGGAATTACCCTAAGGAATTACCCTAGAAATAGAAATGAGTCAACATGCAGCTGTAATTACATTTCACCTCTCTGGATAGAAGTAATTTGATTTATTTTTCTTCTTAATATGTGCATTGTATCCTAAGTGTGCAGCATTGCTGCTTGCAGCTGAAAAAGCTGCAGCAGTGTTTGGTGGGTAAAATGGTTTCCTAAAACTTGTGGGTTCATCTGCAGTTGGTGCTGGATGGCCTGAGTAGCAGGTAAGGAGATGTTCAAGTGCCAATCTCTGTTCTTGCTGCTGTTATCTTTGCAGATCACTAAAAAGCAGTGTTGCTGGAGTGGGGCCCTTCGACTTGGGTTTACTTCCAAGGATCCATCGAGGATTAACCCTGACACTCTGCCCAAGTACGCGTGTCCCGACCTGGTGTCCCAGAGCGGTTTTTGGGCCAAGGCTCTGCCGGAAGAGTTTGCAAATGAGGGAAACATCATAGCCTTCTGGGTGGACAAGAAGGGACGGGTTTTCTATCGGGTGAACGACTCTGCTGCGATGCTCTTCTTCAGCGGGGTGAGGACAGCAGAGCCCCTCTGGGCTCTGATTGACGTCTACGGCCTCACCCGCGGGGTGCAGCTCTTAGGTGAGTACCTGGTTCCGAATGTGCAGGGATGATGCTGAGCTGTCCCTGGAGACAGGCCAGCCTGATGCTGCCTGTCCCTTGCACCAGGCTGGGACAGGCACAGGGAAATGATTGTTGTTCCTCCCCAGGGCCTCTCACAACCTCAGCCTGGATCAGTAGGAGTTTGAAACTTAGCATGTAAATATGTGAGTGGGAGGTGGGAAACAACTGCTACAGCAAGGCACTAGAATGGTTCTCTGCTCAGAGGTGTTGCTCTATCAGAGCATAGTCGTGAGTGTGGCATATACCTTGTAAAATTTCCTTTTTATCTCATTTGCTGCTTTCCCCTTGCTGAAGTGGGGAAATGCATTTTGAATGTTATGGATAAATCCTTCCTGAATGGCACTATTATGATTTTCTGGCTGGCTTAGTGGGCTATTAGTGGCTATTAGAGTTTATACAACTTAGAAGAACTGAAGAGGGTCTTCAGTGATCCATTCTAAGAGGCAACTGGGTTGCTGGGGGTCCAGAGGTGTCAACATACAGCCTTAAAGTTGGCTTTGCATTGTCACCCGGGGGACAAATCACAGCATTTCTCTGTGTAACTAGTTTCATAGGTCTTTTTTTCACCATGGAAATGGTTAGGTGGTACCTGCTGACCTTTATGATCTGAAGTTCCTTCTGAAGATGAGATGTTCTTACAAGGCTGAGAGAGATCCTGGCTTTTTCCTGTCATGCAATCTGATAATCTCTGTTAAAATGACATCTTCATGCTATATATAAAAACCTTTCTGACAGTTCTGCTTCCTTTCTGCACTGCTTTCTGTATTAAAAAACTATGGTGGCAGGACTGCCTGCAGCATCCTACATGGCAGGGAAGATGTGTGTTCAGGAGGTGAAGAAATGGGACTGACCTCCTATTGCTGCACGAACTACCAGCCTTAGATTGCACAAGGCAGAGGAATGAAAGAATTTCTCGGCAGCTTTTTGCTTTCTTTTAGGAGAAGAAAGATTTATCGTTTGTTGTGAATCAGCTTGAATCAGAGCTACTAGGCAACAGTTTGTAGGCCAAGGTGGTGATATTTGAATCAGGATCTGGAATTTGGGCAAATGTCACGCCAGTGCTTCAGTTAGGCAGAGCTTACAAATTACTGCAAGTCCTCCCAGCTGTTCTTGCAAGATTTGGCACCTTGAGACTCCTCCACCTGATTAATGAGGGCCCATAACTCTGGATTATGTGTTTCCTTTCAAAACACCCCAAAAAACATTTCCTATCCGTCATCTGCCCCTGCGCTGCCCTAGCATCGTCTACATCCTGTCACAAGGAATATGTGGCTCTTGCCAGCCACTGACTTGCCTCTGGCCTAACAGCTCTGGACTCTGGTGGGTATGAAGTCCCTGAATGAAGAGGCAGCTTCTGAGTTTACACAGTTGGCGTGGAGCTCAGATACGTGTTTATAGCTCATCCCAGCAGCCTTCAGCAGGCTTTAAGCCGAGCAACTGCGCTGAAACATCTTCAAGTTGAGTCCTCTCTGTCTCCATTCATAAGCACTACAAGTCAGAGCAGGGAAACTGTCAGCTGAGTTGCCTCTGGATCCTATAGATATACCCACTGCAATGCTCTGCGTGCCTGTTTTAGTGTAGCAGACCACACATACAGAGTACAGGATAACTTGCCAAGAACTCCCAGGACTTGACAAATGAATTTCATAGCTTAGCTACAAACATATGGTTGAATTCAGCCTGGTATGGCATGCAGGGCATCTGATGGAGGCTGGGGATGCTAGAGTGGTATGTTGAACAGAGGAGTGTAGCATTTCAGATTCCAGTTCAGTGATTTATTCCCCTTCCAGTCCCAAACATGTTCCTTGTTCTTGAGCCTTGCTTTTTGCCCAAGGACTGCAGGGTTGCAGGGTCATACTGCACCTCTGACCTGCCTCCATTTTCTTTTGTGTGTATTTCACCAAGAGTTGGACCAAAAGCTTTACCACTCCTGGTGACTGTCTTTCTGTTTGTCACTTCCCAATAATGTAACACCACTTCCAAAATTAGACTTGCCCAAATGAAAGACATGCAAGCAGAAATTCTTGTGTCACTGCAGGATCCCAGCTCTGCAGGTGAATGCATGGTATGTACTTATATCCCCAAAAGTCACAACTTCCAAAACTTCCCATTTTTGTGTTGCTTATCTGCATTTCAGTAACAGTTCTGGCCAAAATCAGGTACCCAGTAAAGCAGAGCAATGACCAAGTCTAGTGACACTGTTCCTGTCTTACACACTTAATAGAGACTTGTACAAAAGGAGGCCAGAACCTGGGAGAGTTGAATGATTTGCCAGAGGTTGTACAGTAGTGTCACCCAATGCAGGGATGCAATCAGCCTTTTTGCCCAGCTTGGTCCTGCCTTCCTCTCTATCAGCATCACAGGCATTGTACAACACTCCAGCATCAATAAATTCCACCTATGGATGAAAACAGCTGGTTTGTACCTTAATTTTAATTTTCTTCTGCTTATGGCTTTATCCTTTGTATCACCCTTACTGATAATTACCCACGGGTAATGCACACATTTATGCGGCTGTTGCAGATGTTCCTATGTCCAGCTGTCCTTGCTGTATGTTCAGAAGCAAAGACCTTTAAGCAGCTTTTTTACCTGCTTGATTTCATTCTGAAGCAAGTAAAAAGGGCTTGCATGGTCCACTGCATCTCAGCTGAGGGGAGGTCAGGAAGTGAGTCTGGACCTGGTCTTGCCTGTCACTGCTGGAGTGAGTCAAAATGAGAGTGGCTTAAATCCACCTTGAAGGTGGCTTCAGCAATGAGGTTGGCAGTGCTCACAGGCTTAATCATAGGTGAGAGAGGCTACTCCTTGCTCTCCTCACCTCTACCCACATTATAGGGGTGAAAAGGCTTAAATTAATCCGGGCATCTTGTCTCTTCTGGCCAGGAGGTCTCAGCTGATTTCCTGCCACAATGTGGCACAGGGCGGGTTGTTGCAGTGGAGTGCATGCATGTTCTGTGTTTTAGGGGATGAGTTTCAGGGTAGATGCAGGCTTACATGACCTGTGAACATGCCCTTACTCAGTGACTGTCCTGCCGATAAGTTCAACTTGCAGGCAGGATGGTTTACAGCTCTGCTTCCCTTTTTGGGCAGCTAGTTTTGCACAAGTGCACTTTTACATTCCAGGATACTTTAAAGTAATATTTACTAGAAATGTGGCTTAGCCTTATGTTATCACTTCAACATACACACATGCTCATTCACACTTCAAAAAAGAGTAAGAGAGAAATGGAATATAAGCAATCTGCTGCCTCACTGCTATAAGAAAGTATCAAAAAAGAGAAGGAAAGGAGTTTAAATCCTTGGGGTGTTCAGAGCCCTGGAGGAAGGATGGCAGCTCGTGAGGACCAAATGGTGTTGTCTGACATTAGTCTTCTTCTTTCAGCCACTTGGCTAATGAGTCTGGCATGGAGTAAGAGAATTTAATGTACACTTTCTGTGGACTCATTGCAGGACAGCAAGGGTGGCAACTTTCCTCATTTATGTGTCTGTTAAAGCATCATGTGTGTTTTCAGCATTGTCCTGTACATTTTGGTGGGGAATTGCAGGTTTACCTGTTGTATGGTGCCTGTTTTAAAACTGCACGCCCTCCCGCCACCCTTTTTTTGTTTGTTTGTTTTGTTTTGTTGTTTTGCTTTGCTTTGCTTTTGGCAGTGACATTTTAGCACAGGGTTGCAGAATGGTTAAGATGGGAAAGGACCTATGAAGGTTATCTGGTCCTAACATCTAGTGTCTTTTCTTTCAAAGCACAATGGATGTGCTCTAAAAGTATGGGAAAATGGGACTGCAAAGAACTTATCATTTCAACATACCCCTCTAGCCACCCTGTATTTTCAGTGGGATAAAGTAAGGAATGGTCTTTTAATTTTCCCTAGTCCCATTTATTACTAGTATGATCAGCAACCAGACCTCTTTACTGCTTATTACTCTGTTCATGCCCTTCTGCCATCCATCTGTATTTTCATTCATGCAGTATTTCAAAGTAATCTTAATCTTTTACCAGCACAGACTTGGAAAACCAAGGATAATTTTATTTAGATTGGCACACTGAGAGGCACCTGTTGAAAGCAAAGCTTCACCACCTCTTGTAAATATAAAATATATGAAAAACTTACAAGGCCTTGCCAACTGGGAAAATTTTAAATGCGTGTGTATTGAATGTGCATGTATTAGATTTAACTGAGGTAGAAACAGTATAAATACATACTTGAGTCATAAATACATATACAGATCCTAGTGGAATTACCTGGCAGTACTCTATATATTATATTAGATATTTGGAAATATTTTCTTTCTCTGGATCCCCTTCCTAGCTTCTTATTGCTTCATGTTTGCAAAGTATCAACATTCAAAATATGAACTGATCTTGAATGCACATGTACCCATTTCAGAACTCAAGCTAATGCATATTTGACAAGGAAGTTCCACATTTTTTAGGGAAAGAAGGAAACAGGTTTTTCTTTATTCACCCGTCAGTTCTTAGGTAAATTGAATCTCTGGCTCCAGGGCACCTTTAGAAGAAACATTAAATAAGCCTCAAATGAGGTGGATTTATGGGCAAGTTTCAGATGTGAATGGTATAAGGCTGATGATAAATCTATTTTATCGCATGCATCTGCAGTTTTACCGTGTGGTTATTACTATTTTATTTTCCAAGTGCAAAACTTATTTTCCATTGCCCGCGGGAATCCCATTTCTGTTGCTATTCTGACACATGCAAATAAGGAGACAGATCTGCTGAGAGTGCTTTGCACTCAAGAAAATTGGATAATCAAATGTGACTGCAGTGTATTTTTATACTGTATTGTTGAAAATGGAAGCTATAAACTGTTTACCCCCTCTGTAGAAGCCTGTGACTATCTGATGGAAAAGAATAATATGTGTTTAAACAGAGTCCTAGTTGATGAAGGCAAGATACACACGACCTGCAAACAGTCAGTTGTCATTGTTTTTCCGCATCTCCT